CCACTTAGATTTCAACAGCCAGCAAAAATGTATCTTTGAAAATGAAAGCAAAATAACAAAAAGACTTTTTCATGCAAATAAAACCTAAGTAAAAACTCATCACCAGCATACCTATAATAAATGTTTTTTGTTTTTAAATGAGTAGTATGAGAAATACATAGGTAAGTATAAAAGACAAATTTCTCATTATTAAATCTAATGGAAGATTGAGAGGACTTCTGCTTCTGTGGTCAAGATGGAGTAAAAGGGGCCAGATTTATTCTCCTATTTGAAATAATTAAAAAGACACAAACATGAAACAACAAGTTTTCAAGATACTGGACATCAGGTAATAAAGAACAGTGACCTTTAGAGTTGGGAAGCAAACAAGATGAGATACTGCCTTGGGAGAGTTTCCAGGCTGTGGCACAGGGATATAGAACTTAATCAGAACCCAGTAGACTCATGGAGTTGACAAGATGGAGCTGAGAGTCCCAGGAGACCAAAGCAATTCATAGGACAGAATACCAGAGAGAAGAGAACTGCACATAAATTAAATCCAGTGAGCTGCAGAAACACTCTGTTCAGCAGGGTACTGATCAGAGCATGACTGTGAGGAAACTTATATGAGCAAGAAAAGAACCATAAAAAAATATTCAAGTTCCCAGAACTCACAGAGGGCCAGGAATAGTGCTTGTTCTCACCATTCAGACCGGAAAAACTCTTAATTCATAGGGCATTGGGTAGAGTACTCAGGAAGGTCTTATCTCAGTACTATATAATAATTAGCCCCAGCCTGAACACTGCTCTGGACCCTCCTAATAAATCATAAAAGTAACATCCAAAATGATCAAACTGTTTAAAAGTAAATTAGTTCTATCCCAGAACAAAGTCCAGGAAAATTTTATAAGAAAAAAAAGTCCAGCACCTAAAAGTGAAACTTCAGGGCCGGCCGAGTGGCTTGTTGGTTAAGAGTTGGCTTGGGAGTGTGAGCTCTGAGCAGCAGGGCCTCTGGTTTGGATCCCACATGACCCAGTGACACTGCGCCCTCTACAGCTAAGATGGTGAACAACAGCTTGACCTGGAGCTGAGCTGCCATGAGTTGCCAGTGCAGGCGTAGACTGCAGTGGGGCTGCAGTAAGCTACCATGAGTGGCCAGCAGCCAGCGTGGGTGCCAGCAGCCAGCGTGAGCTGCCGTGAGTGGCCGTCCAATGGCCGGCGACCGATCTGCCTCATCCTGGAAGAACGCAATGATCACAATACCAACATGGGCCAGTGAAGCAACATCTTCCACAACTAGACTGAAGAACAAAAAGACAGCAACTTGTCTGTTCCCTTCCCCGATTCCCCAATATTATTCCCTTCCCCGAATTCCCCAATAAAATCTTAAAAAAAAAAAAAAAGTTAAACTACACACTACACAATGTCTGGCAACCAATCAAAAACTACCATGCAGGCCGGCCGAGTGGCGCGATGGTTAAGAACTCGCTTGGGATGCCAGAGGGCCCCGGTTCGGATCCCACATATGAGGGCCAGTGACACTGCCCTCCGCAGCTGAGATGCTGAACAACAGCTCAACCTGGAGCTGGGCTGCCATGAGTCGCCGGCAACGGCGTGGGCTGCAGTCCCTGTGGCAGTGGATTGCCATGGGCTACCGTGTGTGGCCAGCAGCCAGCGTGAGCGGCCAGCAGCCGCAGTGAGCGGCCGTCCAGAAGCCGGCGACTGATCTGCCTCTCCAGAGAAGAGCGCAATGATGGTGCCAACTTGGGCCAGTGAAGCAACATCCTCCACAACTAGATTGAAGAACAAAACGACAGCAACTTGTCTGTTCCCCTTCCCCCAACTCCCCAGCACTGTTCCCATCCCCCCAATTCCCCAATAAAAAATCTAAAAAAAAAAAAAAAACTACCATGCATGCAAAGTAGCAGGAAAACTCAACTCAAAATAAGGAGAATAATCAATCATTTGAAACCCACACAGATGTTAAAATTAGCAGAGAACTGTAAAACAGTTACTACAAATATATTTCATATGTTCAAAAAGTTAAGTAGAAACAAGGAAGATATAAAAAAGATTCAAGGGGCTGGCCGAGTGGCTCAGTTGGTTAAGAGCTCACTGAAGAGTGTGAGCTCTGAGCAACAGGGTCACCGGTTTGATTCCCGGCCTGAGCTGAACTGCAAACAGGTGGCAGGATGGCTCAGCAGCTAAAAAAAAAAAAAAAAAGACTCAAATTGAGCTTGTAGAAAAGAAAATGACAAAGTCTAAGATGAAAAATACACAAGGGGGGATCACCAGCAGATTAGACATTGCAGGAAAAATGATTACTGAATTATTGGGTTGTCGGAAAAGTCATGACGCACTTTTGCAACAAAAAACATAGAAAAAATGTGTCATGACTTTTCCGACAACCCAACAGATAGAAGGCATAGCAATGGAAACTATCCAAACTGAAACAAACATAGAAAAAAGAACAAAGAAAATTAAAAGAGCACCAATGAGCTGTGGGACAACTTCAAGCAGCTTAATATATAAGAAACTGTAGTCTTCAAAAGACTCGTGTGTTGGGGGCAGGGGGACGGTGCAAACATTTTTTTTGAAGAAATAATGGCCAAAAACTTTTCAAATTTGATGAAAACTGTAAAACTATAGATCCAAGAAGTTCAATGAATCTCAAATATATGAAACATTAAGTAAATTACATCAAGACACATCATTATTAAATTATTCAAAACAGTTGCTAATCTTAAATCTTAAAGTAGCCAGAGGAAAAAATCACATACATAGAGAGGAATAAAAATAACAATGACATCGGATTTCTCATTGGAAAGATGCAAGTCAGGAAAAAGCTAATCAACATCTTAAAAGTACTGTCACCTAGAATTCTGTACCTGGCAAAAACTTCTTTCAAAAACAAAAGTTACTTGGCCATAAAAAAGTATGAAACCTTACCATTTTGTGACAACATGGATGTGTTATGCTAAGTGAAATAAGTCAGACTGAGAAAGACCAATACTATATGATCTCACTTATACGTGAAATCTAAAGAACAAAGTGAACGAACAAACAAAATAGAAATAGACTCATAGATACAGAGAACAAACTGATGGTTGCCAGAGAGGAGGGGAGTTAGGGAGCTGGGTGAAAAAGGTGAAGGGATTAAGAAATACAAATTGGTAATTACAAAATAGTCACAAACATGTAAAGTACAACATAGGGAATATAGTCAATAATATGGTAATACTATGTATATAGTGCCTGGTGGGTACTAGACTAATCAGGGGATCACCACATAAATTATACAAATGTCTAACCACTATGATGTACACCTGAAACTAATATAAAATAATACCGAATGTAAAAAAAAATTTTTTATAAATAAAAAAATAAAAAGAATGAGTATTTCCTGAAATAGATTACAAAAAAAAGGAAAAGAAAAAAAAACCAAAAACAAAAGGTTAAATAAAGACGTTTGCAGACATATAAAAACTGAAGAATTCATTAGCAGCAGACCCACACTACAAGACGTGTAAAGCATGTCTTTTAGGTAGAAGGAAAATGAAACAACATGGAAATCTGGATCTACAAAGGAAAGAAAAGTATCAGAAATAGTAGCTATTAGGGTAAATATATAAGTCTTAAAAATTATTTAAACCTTCTTAGAAGGTAATTGGCATCATAACAATGTGTATTTTATTACTTATGACTCACAAAAGTAAATGCATGATAATAGCATAAAGGAAAGAAGAGCAGAAATGGAAGTCTACTATTATAAAGTTCTTATATGATATATAAAATTATATCAAATCACTTAAAGGTAGACTGTAATTAAAGGTATATACTATAAACCCAAAGCAATCACTAACATAAAGCAAAGAATAATAAATAAAAAAGCAAAAAAGGAGATCAAATGGAATAAAAAAATAATTAAACCAAAAGAAGACAGAAAAACAAGGAAAAAAAAAGAACAGATGGGAGAAACAGAAGACAAATACTAAGGTGATGAACCAAATCTAACCATATCAATAATCATATTAAATATAAATGGTCCAAATAGCCCCCCCCAAAAGCAGAGAATCTCAGAATGGATAAAAAAAGCAGGGTGCAAAGTACAAAGAAACATACTTTATATATAAATACAAATATAGGTTAAAGTAAAAGGATGGAAAAAGGTAAACCATGTTAACAGTCAAAAGAAAGCTGAAATGGCTAATATTAATATGAGACAAAGGAGATTTCAAAGTAAAGAATATTACCAGGGATAAAGAAGGTCATTTCATATGACAACTGGGACAATTAATCAAGTGAGCATAACTATCTGTTTATGAACCTAATAACAGAACTTCAAAATACATGAAACAAAAATTGATACAGCTGGAAAAAGAAATGACAAATTCACTATTACAACCGAAATATATATATATATATATATATTTTTTTTTTTTTTTTTAAATATTTTTATTGGGGAATTGTGGGATGGGAACAGCGCTGGGGGATTGGGGGAAGGGGAACAGACAAGTTGCTGTCCTTTTTGTTCTTCAGTCTAGTTGTGGAAGACATTGCTTCACTGGCCCAAGTTGGCACCATCATTGCGCTCTTCCCGGGCGAGGCAGATCAGTCACAAGCTTCTGGACTGCCAATCACGGCGGCTGCTGGCAGCTCACGCTGGCTGCTGGCTACACACTGTAGCCCATGGCAACCCACTGCAGCAGGGGCTGCAGCCTAGCCATCGCTGGCGACTCACTGCAGCCCAGCTCCAGGTTGAGCTGTTGTTCAGCATCTTAGCTTTAGGGGGCAGTGTCACTGGCCCTCATATGTGAGATCCGAACCGGGGCCCTCTGGCATCCCAAGCCAGCTCTTAACCAATGCGCCACTCAGCCAGCCCTGCACCCTGCTTTTTTCACTTAACTATATTGTATTTATTTTCTAATATCATTAAGTGTTTACAAATAGTAACTGCAACATATTACCTCAGTCAGAAAAAAATTACAGTTTTTAATTTAGCAGAAATACTTATATCTTACCAAAAGTCCTAGGACTTTCTGTTGAATGGATGACTCAGTTGGGAAAGACTGTAAAAAAGAAAGAGAAGACTATAATTACCTAAAGAATCAAATATAATTAATAAATGCGTAAGTCAATCAATCAATAAATATCAAAACTGTAGGCTAAATTCCCATTCTAACCTCTAGAACCCTCATGAAGAGTTCTAACCCTTGGTTTTCAATAAAGTGTCTGCAAGTAGTTGGAGATTCATCTGTGAGGTTCCAAAGTGCACTCAAAGTAAACTTCAAAGTAGTATCCACTGAATTTTGATTGGTTTTCTGCTTTACTATTTGAAGAAGTTGCTGAAAGAAAAATAGAATTAATTTCTCATTATTCAGTTGTTATTACAATTAGTAGTAATAACCACAAGTCCATGAGGATTAGTGTTATGGCTTAAAATGTTCCTGTAAAGGTTTTTATAAATACAACAAACAGCTTCTTGGATCAAACTTTTCCTTCAACAAGAAAAAAGTATAGGACCTTCATAAATACTTCTATATTATTCTGATCATAACTATAATCTAATCGCCTGTAAATAAAATGAAAAGCAAAATGATTAAAGCTACGGCCAACTATTTTACCCAACTGGTCAAAACATATACATACTCATTTTAAATCCTAGGATAAAAAAGGTGGAGAAGGAGAAGAAAGGAATGAAGCAAACATTTATTAACCATCAGCAAATTATATCCCAAATTGTACTATTGTTATCCCCATTTTTCAGAAGAGGAAATTGAGTCTAGGAAATACTAGGTTAAGTGATCATAGCTTAGTAAGAGAAAGTAAGAACTGGAAGACCTAATTCTATCTAAGCCCAACTTTTCCTTAAGAAAAAAGAAAGGCCAAATAAAATATAATAGTAAGAGAATTAAACTCTATATTAAATTTAAATAAGATAATAGCTTTAAAATTCCATTTGTAAATTATTCCTATAATAGCTTTAACCTAAGAAATTTAAAGTTTGAAAGATAAATGTTTTAAGACCTATATAAGGCATCCATAATTCCATCTTTAGATTACACATTTGGAGGTAAAAGGGAGCTCTGCTAAAACAGATACAAGAAAACAATGGACACTATTGCTTGCTTAACGTTTCAAACAATTTCAGAAATAACTTCTTAAGAAACACAAATATTTAGGTGCAATTAGGTAACTTAATAGCATAGTGGTTATGAGTGTGGCACAAGAATCAGGCTACCTTAGTTTAAATATAATCTCTGCATCTGACCAACCATGTAACCTTGTTAGCCAATTTAATTTTTTGTTTCTTCATCTGTAAATTGCAGGTAATAAATAAGAGCCAAAAAAAAAGCTAGCTATCATCATCATTACTACTACTGCTAATTCTTGCTAATTCCTTTTAACTAAGCTTAATTTTCCTTCAAAGCATATGAGTGAACTATTTCCTTAAAATCTTTGAATATTTCCAGCCAAAATTACTTAAACACATATATGGTAATAAAAATCCATATTTATAACTAAAATGTCATCCCCGAAAATGCTTAAAATAAATAAAGCTAGCATCCTTTTCTACTCATCTAATATGTATTGTATTTTGTGCTAGACATTTAGCATACATTCCTTCAATTAATCTTTTTTCTTTTCATTTAATCTTCATAATAGTCATATAAAGTATTTTTTTATCACCCTTCAGAAAGTTTATGTGACTTGCTCCAAATCACACCACCAGTAACAGAATTAGGAATACACCCATATGTCAACTTAAGAATTCCTACTCTTTCCATTATACCACCACAGCCTTCTCTTCCCTTTACATTACTTTTTTTTTTTCAGCCTACGCTTTCGCCGGTGACTCATGGCAGCCTAGCTCCAGGTTGAGCTGCTGTTCAGCATCTTAGCTGTAGAGGGCAGTGTCACTGGTCCTCAGATGTGGGATCCGAACCGGGGCCCTCTGGTGTCCCAAACCAGTTCTTAACCATCACGCCACTCAGCTGGCCCAACATTACTTTTTTAATTAAGATTTCTATTATTATACTTATTAGATTGTATTATAACTATGTCTACATAGTGATTTTCTCTATTATACTGTGAATTTCTTATGTGCAGGAATTATAAATATAATTCAGTGTGAATCCCTAACATCTAGTAAGGTGGTAGGTACCTGATGAGTATTGTATATTATTTATCAAATGAATGACTTGCCTTCTCATTACATAACATTTGTAAGTCATAGAAAAAGAGAGTCTCTCTCTCACTTGATTTCCATCTACTATTATTATTCAAACACTTCATGCCAGGATTGAAACAGGAAACCCCAAAGTGGACTATTTGCTTCCAGTCCTCCCTAAGACACTGTTCATATTTATTCTCTTTAAAGCTTTTTAACTTTCCACTGTACACTATATTATTTCCTCAACTGAGTGTAAGCAAGCAAAATCATTAGTCAGCTATTTAAATTATCTTCTTCCCCAAAGCACCTAGCACAATCTTATGCCTATGATAGAGTCTTTATATTTTCTTCATAAATTTAACATTATCACCAAATTTTAGAACTGGACAGGGTCTTAAGGTTTATGTAGGCTCCACTAGTTCAGGAATTTGTTTAAATTCACAAAGTGAGTTTACAAGTTAGATTCTAGGTCATGTGACTCCTATTAGGGCTCTTTCTATCTCTGTTAAAGAATAAAGCTGCCTCTATAAAAAGAAATGAATACACTCATGTAGGAGTAACACAAACAATTTTTTTAAATATAAAACATCAGAGGATACACAGGATTGCTTGAAAACAATGAAAATGAAAGCTGTCTGGTGGTCTGCACGAAGGACATAACAAACTTACCCTGACAATGAAGAGCTCAGCACCAAGCTGCGCTGTTTGTTCTGTAGAAAGCTGCAAGCAAGCAGACAAAGTAAATGTCCAAGAACTCACTAGTGTTGAATTTAATATCATTCACTGTAACAGGCTCCAAAGATCAGACTAAAATCTCTGACAATCCTGGAATTCTGCCATACTGAATACAGCTTGAATAAGCAGGCTGGCAGAAAGGCTTACTAACCTTTGTGGCACACAGACTGGGGAAAATAATAACTGTAACAGAAAACAAGAGTTCAGGTACCTTGGCAGCCAAGATGGAAATGATAGCAACTGCCATCCTTTGCATGTTTTGATCCTCATGGTTGCAGAGCCACTGCATGACAAGCTTGGCTGCTTCAAACCTGAAAACACACAAAGGTTTTTATGAGTTAATCCTGAAGGCCCAGACACAGTTTCAGAGCCTCAGCTGGGAACTGATGCTACAATTTAGGCAGGTAAATGGGAAAGGGAAAATTCCTCTTCACTGATAGAGAATAACAATTACACTTAGTGTTCTGGAGATGGTACCTCCTTAATTCTGACAACACTTTCTAAAAAACAAGTCAAAACTATTTGGCATTCATCTTCTAGAATTACAATATATTTCTATTCTATATTTCTATTCTGTAGTGATTTCTAAACCGTAGTAATAGTTCAAGTATTTTCTGGATTCCCCACAGTACCTAGCACAATGGGAATTTGTTCATTTATGAGTCCCTGCTTGGTGCCAGATCCTGTTTTTGCTGCTAGAGACAGAGTAGTGAACAAAACAAAAATATCTCTACTCTCATAGGGTTTACATGCTGGTGGGGAAAAAAGATAATAAATCAGATAAATAAGTAGAATATATAGTATGATTAGGTACTAACACATGCTGTAGAAGAAAAAATAAAGCAGGGAGAGGAGAGATGAAATGCTGAAATTTTATATAAGGTGGATACGGAAGGCTTCACTGAAACTTTTGACATAGTAAGAGAGCTAGCCATGCAGATATCTAGGGAAAAGCATTCCAGGCAGAAGGAATGGGAAATACAAGGACCCTGAAGTGAGAGCATGCCTAGAGGTTTTGAGAAATAGCAATGGAGGCCAGTAAGGCCAGAGCAGAGAACAAAGGAAAGAGTAGTACTAAGAAATGAGGTCAGAGGTAACAGGGGAGCCAGATCACAGTCTTAGTAAAGAATTAGCTTTTACTCTGAATGAGAGGGAAAGCCATAAAAGGATTCTGAGCAGAGATATGATATGAACTGACTTATGTTTTTAACAGGATTATTCTACCAGCTGTATGTCAAATAAACCTCAGGAGGGGAAGGACAGAAGCTAGGAGCAGTTCAGAGGTGACCACAATAATTCAGGGGAGAAATTTACTTTTAGTCTAATCCAAGTGGTTAAAATGGAAGTGAAGACAAATGGCTGAATTTTAGATATATTTTGGACAGAGCTGGATTTACCAAAGGACTGAATGTAGGGTGTGAGATAAGGAGAGAAATCAAGGATGGCACCAAGGAATATACCTGATTTTTTTTTTAAGATTTTTTTTTGGGGGGGACTTGAGGAAGGGGAACAGTGTTGGGGAACTGGGGAAGGGGAACAGCCAAGTTGTTGTCCTTCAATCTTAGTTGTGGAGGGTGCAGCTAGCTCAGCTCCAATCCAGTTGCCATCCAGCCGCCTGGCGGCAGCTCAAGGCAACTCAGCTCAAGATGCTGTTTTCAATCTTAGTTTCGGTTGGGCATAGCCACCATCCCACGCGGGAGTCAAACCAGCAATGTTGTTGTTAGGAGCACGTGCTCTCACCAGCTGAGCCATCCTGTCACCTGTTGGCAGCTCAGTGGCAGCTCAGCTCAGGCGTAGCTCACTGGCCCATGTGGGAATCGAACGGGCGACACTGTTGCTCAGAGCTCGCACTCTTAACCAACTGAGCCACTCGGCCGGCCCAATATCTGATTATCTTACCAATAATTTCACCTTTCAAGACCCAGCTCAAATATCACTTCCTGTAAGAAGCTTTCCTTGACAAGTTTATCATTGTCTTCTCACTGCTCCTAGCACTTGTTTGTAACTCTGTCAGAGAGCTGTGATTATCTGGAGACTCACTAGAATCCCCCATTAGGGAATGGACTGTATCCTATTTAGCCGTTCATGCCAAAGACCCAATACAGTGCTCTATACACAGTGTTTAATACATGTTGGCTGGATGATTATATTGATGTAAATGAATTCTCTGCAACTTCCTTCAAATTTACTCTTACCTCTTTCTATTCCTAAGGCCATCTTAGATCAAGTCCATTACTGGCATTATTCCACCGCCACCCCCACCCCCACATATATACTGCAGTAGACTGACATCTTTTAAAAGTGCCTTTTAATCTATAGGTTTCTTTTGCATCCCCCTCTTCCCCAAACCACTTCCTTGCCATTGATTTGTTGAAGAAATTGGTTCTTTGATCTGCAGAGATTCCCAGTCTGGAATTTTCTGATTGCAGCCCTGTGGTGCTATTTAACATGCTCTACGATCTGTATTTCCTATAAATTGGTAGTTTGATTTATATTTAATCAGATTTATGTTTGATTTTGGGGGGCAAAATTACTTCATAGATTGTGTTGTGTTCTCTTGTCAGAAGGCACATAATGTCTAGCTGTCTCTCTTTTTGTAATTTTAGCAGCCATTGGTGTTTATTACTTATACCCATATGTTAAATTAGGAATTATAAAATGGTAATGTTCTAATCCTATTGTTTTTTCTTCATTTATTAGCTGAAATACAAACAATCTAATACATATACCATTTGATTGTCTAGTAATATAGTTATTACAGGAAAAATATGATGTTTGATTCTTTCCCTTTATTTGCCAGTTTTCAAAATAATAAGTGGTTTATTATCATCTTGTAATGGTGACTAATTGTGTGTGTGTGTGTGTGTGTGTGTGTGTGTGTTTAATAGCACTTGCCAGGGAGTTTCATATTGAGGCATCCCAAAGAGCTGTATCCCAAAGGACTCCTTAAATACCTCATGCTTGACCATGGTCAGGGTTGATGATAAGAAATGTCACAGGGCTGAGCCTTCAGGGTTAAGTAAGCCAATGGGACCCTAGCCATGGGGAAAGGTCAGCTGCAGAGGTGGAAAATGAAGTAGGCCTTGATAGAATCAGTCCACCAACATTAAAAAAAAAAAATGTGGGGCCGGCCAAATGGCGCGTTGGTTAAGAGCTGGCTTGGGATGCTAGAGAGCCCTGGTTCGGATCCCACATATGAGGGCCAGTGACACTGCCCTCCACAGCTAAGATGCTGAACAACAGCTCAACCTGGAGCTGGGCTACCGTGAGTCGCTGGCGATGGCGTAAACTGCAGCCCCTGCTGCAGTGGGTTGCCATGGGCTACCGTGTGTAGCAAGCACCACCAGCATGAGCTGCCAGCAGCCACTGTGAGCGGCCATCTAGAAGCCGGCGACTGATCTGCCTCGCCCGGGAAGAGCGCAATTATGGTGCCAACTTGGGCCAGTGAAGCAACGTCCTCCACAACTAGACTGAAGAATAAAAGGACAGCAACTTGTCTGTTCCCCTTCCCCCAATNGACAGCAACTTGTCTGTTCCCCTTCCCCCAATTCCCCAGCACTGTTCCCATCCCCCAATTCCCCAATAAAAAAAATCTTAAAAAAAAAAAAGTGTTTTTTGTTTCTTTTTCCCCACCCCACACTCCCTCCCCTTTGGCAATCATCAGCTTGTTTTCTGTGTGTATGGGTCTGTTTTCTTTTATTTATTCGTTTATTTTGTTCTTTTAGATTCCACATATAATTGAGACCATCATAGTATTTGTCTTTCACTGTCTGACTTATTTCACTTAACGTAATACCTCCTAGGTCCTCATAATACCTCATAATGTCACAAATGGCAAGATTTCATTCCTTTTTATTGCTGAATAATAGTCCACTCTGTGTGTGTGTGTGTGTGTGTGTGTGTGTGTGTGTGTGTATCTCACATCTTCGGTATCCATTCATCTATTGATGGACATCTAGGTTGCTTCAATATCTTGGCTATTACTGCTAATGCTGCAATAAATATAAGGGTGCATATATCTTTTCAAATTAGTGTTTTTGTTTTCTTCGGATAAACTGGCATTCTTCTATAATAGAGTCCTAATGGGTCTCTGCTTCCATTGCTTTCCCTTCAATTTGTGCCTATACATTGGTAATAAATCTGTCAGACGACTTAAGTATAATGTCACTCCTGTACTCACAGTATTTTAGAATTCTAGCAATGGGCCCATACATTCACATCTTTTTTCTTGTCTACCCTATGCTTAATGCAAAGTGGACTGCTCATTAGTCCCCAAACATGACCACAATTATAAGATAATATAGCCTGGTAGTTAAGAGCACAGATTCTGATGTTCTTTGGATTTGGGGGTTTAAATCCTAGTTCCGCTTAATGTTAATGATAATAAAATAATAAATTTTTATCATGTGAGGCAATACAGTCAAGTCATTAAGAACATCATAAACTTTGGAGTCAGCCTGGATTCAAATATCACCTCTACCACTGACTAACATTGGGATCCTGGGCAAGTTCCTTAATCTCTCTGAACTTCAATTTTCTCATCTGTAAAATAATAAGATCTATTCCATAGGACTGTTGTAAGGTTAAAATGATATCACCTATAAAGCTTAAGACAGTCCAGAACTTGGCACAGACCAAGCTTTAGATAAAGGTTAATTTTTACTATTATTATTATTATTGACTTCCTCTGTGCCTTTATTTGTGCAGTTACCAAAACATAAAACAATCAACTCAACCAGCTCTCATCTTCGAAGCAATATAGCATGGATGCAAAAAGTAGAGGCTCTAAGTCAGTTTGGATTTAAGTCTAAATTCTGCTACTTACTATTTTATCACTTTGAGCAAGTTACTAAGCCTTTCTGTGCCTGCTTCCTAATCTGTAAAATGAAGATTACAAGAATAACAATTTGACGGCACTGTTGTAAGGTCTGAAAAAGCATATGTAAAATGCTTATCACAAGCCTGGCAATATCAGGTGCTTCATACATGTTAGTTATCTTTATTATCTGCTATCACTAACATGAAAGTGATCACCAATCAGATGGAATCTTTCCCTCCTTGTTTGGGGGCCCAATGCATTTTGTCACCCTCTGCTATGAAAAATTCTGTCTTCTATTATACTCATTCATTCATCCATCCATCCATTAAATACCCACTAAAGCACTAGACACAGAGATTAACCAATTACAGTCTCTGACCACAAAGAAGCTCGATTCTAGCGGAGTGCACTGACTAGATCACAGGTAGGCAAACTATAGCCTACCTATCATGATTTTATAGCTGTGGGCCCAGCTGCCTGTTTTCTAAAGTTTTATTGGAACATAGTTACCCCCATTTGTTTATATATTGTCTATGGCTGCTTTAGAGGGGCAATGGCAGAATTAAGTTGTTGCAGCACAGACCTTATGGCTAACAAGCCTAAAATATTTATTATCTGGCTCTTTAGAAAACGTTTACCAACCCCTGGGCTAGTTTAAAATTTTTCTTTAAGAAAGTGATTATGCCTTTTCTAACAATGACTTCATGTGACCAGTACAGCTGTTCAATAGCTATAAAATAAAATTAGTCATCTACAGGAGATCTATATATAGTCATATTTTTATCCAAACTATTTCAAATAGTAAATGGAACATCTAGTTCCTCAGCCATGCCAGATAATAGTGTAGCTACACAAATAAAAGTAAACCACAGTAAAATTGCTGCTTGAGAAATGTACTTTTCATAAAGTATAAATTTCATTTTTAAAATACCATCATTAAAAAATTATATTTTAGGGCCGGCCGAGTGGCTCAGTTGGTTAAGAGATGGCTTGGGAGCATGAGCTCTGAGCAACGGGGCTGCCGGTTCGATTCCCACATGGGGGCCAGTGACGCTGCGCCCTCTACAGCTAAGATTGTGAACAACAGCTCCATCTGGAGCTGGGCTACTGTGAGTGGCCGGTGACAGCATGGGCTGTCTTGAGCCGTCGTGAGCCACTGTGAGCGGCCGTCCAATGTCTGGCGATTGATCTGCCTTAGTCGGGAAGAGCAGAATGATCAAAATACCAACATGGGCCAGTGAAGCGACAGCCTCCACTACTAGACTGAAGAACAAAAGGACAGTAACTTATCTGTTCCCCTTCCCTGATTCCCCAACACTGTTCCCCTTCCCCAATTCCCCAATAAAATCTTTAAAAACAAAAAAATATATATTTTAAAATAGTAAAGTGAAAAAAATCACTTTTTAGCTCCAAAATCACAACATCTTAGAAAACAAAAGAATCCTTTATACTTATTGGACTCCAGCTATATGGCTTTCTTTAAAAAGTTTCTTCTGTAATTCAATATCAAATAACAATAAGAGGTATGATACAGAGAAAAGAAAACTGAAAGGCCAGCCGAGTGGCTCAGTTGGTTAAGAGGTCGCTCAAAAGTGTGAGCACTGAGCAACAGGGTCACCAGTTCGATTCCCGGCCCAAGCTGAGCTGCCAACAGGTGGCAGGATGGCTCAGATAAAAAACCCAAAAAAACAAAAAAACACTGGACCTAGAACTAGAAGACTTGAGTCTTTCTAGTCTGGCAGTTACTAGTCACGAAACCATGGGCAAGACACTGAATCTCTATATGCCTCAACTTCTATGCCCACAGTATTGTGTGGATATTCTAAAAACTATAATCAATATAAATTCTTAAGCAAAGGGCTATGAAAACAGGGGTCAATCTGCTACCATGAATGTCAAAGCAATAAACCAGAGAAAATAGATTTAGCATTCTCCAAGGCAACAGCAGAATCCCATTCGCTTGATTAATCGTACAACAGGGTTATCTTAACTGATAAGAAATGACCCAAAACAGATTTCTAAAATTCTCTTTTGCCCCATTTTAAGTTTTAGGACTATTACTTGCCTGTTAAATGGAACATCTTGAAGAATCCGGTCACTGCAAAGTGAAAGGAGGCAATTCTTCTGTAACTAAAGAACCAAAGGGAGAAAAAAAAAATCCTGAATTAAATGTTGCTATGTTATTTTTTTAACCAGGGGTAGCCTCTATAAAAAAGGAAGACTGATGAAACATCACTTATTTCTTACAACCTTTATTCGGCCCACCTACTGTTGAAAGACCAACTTCCACTGGATCCATATGTTTATCTACACATATTTTTTTTGTCTTTTCTATTAGATGAAAAATAGGATAATAAATAGTATAACTGCAGCTAACCTCCTGTTCTGGTGGGCTTTGGGTGGGTCCTGCTTTGTCTTTTGTCCACTTGGCTTCCAGAGGCCATGAAAAACAAAGCCTAAAGTTGATCTATTTAGTTTGGCAATTGCCCTCAATGAGGGAAGCTGGCTTTAGTGATTCACTCACCAGTCTGGGTTGGACCTGAGTATTTACTTGCCAGCTCATTTGCTAAATTTTAAGAGTTAAAAATATTATTCAAGGGCCGGCCGAGTGGCGCATTGGTTAAGAGTTGGGTTGGGACACCAGCTTTGAGCAGCAGGGCCCCAGTTCGGATCCCATATTAGGGCCAGTGACGCTGTGCCCTCTACAGCTAAGATGGTGAACAACAGCTCAACCTGGAGCTGGGCTGCTATGAGTTGCCATCGCAAGCTACCATGAGTGGCTGGCAGCAGGCGCGAGCGGCTGGTAGCCGGCGTGAGCTCCCATGAGCCGCCGTGAGTGCCCAGGACGGCCGGCGAGCAACTAGTTGCCTCACCCAGGAAGAGCGCAATGATCACAATACCAACATGGGCCAGTGAAGCGACGTCCTCCACAACTAGACTGAAGAACAAAA